AGAAAACTTAAACCATGGAATAACATGTATAAATTGGACTTAATCAAAAATTTTTAAGTGAGAAGGCAAATAACATAAAAAATTAAAGGAATCATAAAGTAATAATAAAAAGAACTCAATTTGAAAATATGCAAAAGATTTTAACAGATATTCACTAAAGCAGATATACCAACTGCAAATGAGCACATGCAAAGATGTTCAATATCATTAGCCATTAAGGAAATGCAAATTGAAACTATGAGATACCACTAAACACCTACTAGAATGGCTAAAATGAAGACTGACAACAATACTAAGTGTTGGTGAGGATTCACAGAAGCTGGAACCCTAACACATAGCTTTGGAAAAGATTTCAGCAGCTTCTTATAAGATCAAGTATACTTTTTTATAATGCTACCCAAGAGAAAAGAAGGAATTATGTCCACAAAAAGACTTGTACTACATGGTTTATAACAACTTTATTCATCATAGGCAAAATCTGGGGGAAAAAACCCAAAGTCCATAATCTGGTGAATAGATGAACAGTTTGTGATACTCATTACAATAGAATACTACTCATCAATAAAAATAGTCCAACTACTAATACATATAACAACGTGGGTGAATCTCAAAAGCATTATGCTAAGTGCAAGAAGCCAGACACAAAAGACTGTAAGCTCTGTGTATAGATTCCATTCATATGAACTTCTAGAAAAGATAAAACTAGAGATCAGTGGTTGCCAGGGACTTTGGAAGGAGGTTGACTGCAAAGAGTCATAAGGGACCTTTTGAAAGTGACAGAATGTTCTGTATCATGACTATGGTGGTGGTTAGATGACTGTACACATTTGTCAAAACCCATGAAATTCTACAATTAAAATTGTTGAGTTTTACAGTATGTATATTATATCTCAAAATGATTAAAAAAAAACAAGTGATGGATAAACCCTTTATTATATCTCATAATTACAAAAAGAACTTTAAAACACATTCTTAAGTTTTAAAACACATTCTTAAGTTTTAAATTCAAGCCTTTACTATACAATACACAAAATTGACACCAATTAAGATTTCAGGCACGTTATCACAGGAAATATACAGCAGAGACTGTTTTCATCACTTACTAATTCATCTTCACACTCAATTAAATAAAAACTGAGATTTGCCAGAATCTATCCAAATCTATAACAGAAACAAGCAAATGACAAAGTACTGCTCTTTTAGAGAAGCCACAACAACTTTAGCTATAAAATGTATTCTTTCTAGTGTTTCACACTGCATTACAGCGGTGAAGTTTTAATTAGTTAAAACTTTTTTTCAAATTATGATTTTCTAAAACATACACTTTTGGTAATAAAATTATACAGTTTTCAGCAACAAAGGTTGTGGTCAATTACTCACAGGCACTGAAGAATGACATAAGGCAAGAAACAAAATTCTGGTGTACATTCTGCTTTCAGATGCTTTGACAATACTATTGCACTGCTAGCTGTAAAGTACAGTAGTGCAATAAAGTCAGAGCATTCGTTAGCAGTAATAGGTAGGAAAGAAACACAAAAGCATCTTGCATCAGTTGAAGCTTCAGTGAGAAAAAAATTTTAAAAAGGGTTGCCACTTTGGACATAAGACATCCAAAACCTAAGAACATCTATATCAGTGTTAAAACAAAAAAGAATAGAATTTAAAGATCAAAGTGATACTGTTTTTTGATGACTAAAGAATGGTTATTATCCAAAACGAAATATGTATAGATGTAGAAAGGAATTTTGTAAATGGCATTAAGTTTTATAAATTATTAACACGGATATTGTTAAGCCCTTGGGACTGGTATTAACAAAACAGGTTATAATTACTACCAAGGCAAACTTGTGAAAATATTTCTCTTCTGCTGAGATGTGTTGGTTAGCTCCTCCATAGCAATTGATTAGCTGCCATATAAAACAAGCCTTTTGAGAAAGATTATCAAAGAAAACAAACGAAAAGTAAAATAAGGAGTTTCCCAAATTCTATAAACCCATTCTATTTCTCTGGAATCTAAACTATATTACAAAAAGCACTTACCATCTTATCTGCAGAGTTTACAGAGTTCCAGGGAATCAATATGTCCTAAAGAGGACACCATTAGACCTACCTAACTGAATACTATGGAAGGGGATTTTAAAATTTCAGTTAACCCCTAAAACATCTTAAATATAGGAGGAAATCATCTCCATTTCCTTCAAATGCAGAAAAATCAAGGAGAAAATAATAATGGGAGGAGATTAAGAATCAAGTTTCCTTGGATTTAATCCAATTAACACCATAACCTTTTAACTGGTGAGAAACCATTATAAAGTCAAATGTCAACCCAGAAATAGAAATAGTAAACAGTATTATAGTATCATATTGCAGTATCTTTGGTGCACAATCACCAGCGGCACCACAAAAGGACACTAAAAAATACCAATCAATAAATGAAGGGAAAAAAGTTAGAGAACAAAGATCACCCCAAAATGAATGAGCTTATTCCTCCATTAATAATGTTGATTGATGCAAAAACACTTCCCATTTCTTTCACCAAGCTTTCTTAAATATCCAGTTCAGCTACGTGGTTGGATTGAGCCTAATAAGAAATGAACTCAAATTCAGGACAGCTGGAGCATGAATGTCTTGACCTCAAATCCTAGGCCACATAACTCAGATATTAGAGTATTTCAACTCTGCTAGCCAAGTATCAGGTTTTAAAGACAAGTATTTAAAAACAAATGTTTAATTTTTCTGAATTGGAAGTTAATACATACAAAAAAATGATTTTTTTTAAAATTAAGAGGATCGGGCTATTTGTCTACAAAATTAAGATAAATACTTTAGTTTCAACGTTAATTATATGCATTTTATTTCACTTATTAAATATCTAACTTGGGTTCCTCAACAAATTCTTTATTTGAGTAATATAAAACCTAAAATCAGAGGATTGCACAGGAGGTCATTTACCTTTGGAATCTCAGAAAACAAACCAATTCACAGAGTATTTTTTCCTAAAGGCACATGGCAAATCTAAAGATAAGATGCACTGTCTTATACCATCCAACCAATACAAAGCAGTAATAATAAAACTTTTAATAATAGTTCAAAAACAATTTTTAAATACTAATGATTATAGAAACAAACTAATTTGAAGGGTGGGGGGCGGGAAGCTATGACTAGGTTACTTGCAGGGAATTTACAAAGACCACTTTCTTCGCTCTCTCTTAGAATTTTTAAAAACTATTCCATCATTCGAACATTTAAAAGTTTAAGAGTCTGCTTACATCATAATTTTCTCAAATTGACTTTTTTCAAGATGTACATGTAATTGTTTGCCGCGTAAAATGTGTTCAATCTAGAAAATGTCCTGTGAGACTCTAATGCCAAGTCCAGAAAAGGCTTACTTAATTGGTACCTTAAAATTAAAAGCCAACTTGTGGAGGTGGGGGGGAACTATTAAAAACAGAATTAGTATCATTTAGCATCTTACATTTAGGCAGAACCATCCATCTGGAAGGAGGAATTCAGAATGAGGGAGAAGGACAAGATATTAACTATGTCAGTTGATACAATCAAACTACAATACTTAACACGTTGGTTCTTTTTCTTTCTTCTTTTTTTGGAAATATAGTTAATAAGAACAAAACTTAGAACTAAAAGTTCATTATTACAGCTTTGGAAAGCTGCAAAAAAATTCTTCCTTTTCTGCAGTCTTTTCTTGCCTTCCCAATCCCCACACACACCCCCTACAAAGAAAATTAAAATTCAAAACGTTAGAAGCAACTGAAAGCTTTCAAGTCGATTTTATATATAAGAGGCACTACAATGCATTAATACATTAGAAGAAAATAATAAGATATTTCAAGGTCTCACATTTTATGGGGTGAGAATGGTATTCAGTTTCTTCCAGAATCACTACATATTGCAGATATTAGAGAGACTCAAGGTTCAGCTTGGAGAGATGAAGAAAAAAGATTTTGCCTTTTATACTTAATCTTGTAATTTAACAACAAAAAAAGGATAGGAACTTAATGATGGGTGGGTCCTCCAAATTCCACATTTCAAAGGAAGCCAGCCCAAGCCAAACACTGGTAATACTGAGGGTAAAGGACTGAAGATAGGACAAGGGAACTAAGAAAAGAAAAAAGCGCGGGCGATCAAGCCAGTAGTCTAGAGATGGAAAGGAGAGAATAAAGAAGACAAGTGAGGGAAGGATCCACAGAAAACGAGGACAGCCCTCCAGTTTAGCGCCCTCGAGCAGGCCAAGCAACAGCGGGAGTCCTTTCCAATTATTCGCCCCCGCCCTGTACTTTCACAATGAATGAAACTAGGCAACTCCAGAGCAGGGGTGCCTTCCACGTCCCAGTCCAGCCCGCGCTACAGGAAAGGAGCTCGAGGTTCGGATCCCCATGACTCACACCTCTCCCCCACCGAAGGACTGCCACCTTCGGGCCAAAGAGAAACTGGTCTAGGGGCTTCCTTGGCTGCTAGGAAGTTGTGCACGCAACTCTAGCAGCCTTTCTCAGACTTTCTTAGCCAGCCCTGGAGACTGTGAGCGGTTCAACACCAAAGGGATTTCTCTCCGCCCCTCAGTTTATTCCCCACCCTATCCTCCATCCCTCTTTCTCGGAGCGTGAACGACCTCTCCCCTTCTTGGGGCGCTTAGTGACCATTCCAGTCACGTCTTTTGATGGAAATACACGGAACGCCGTCTACACCAGCCACAGCTCCTTGAGGGGTGGGAAGGTGAGGGCAAGCTGCAAGGAATTCCAAAGGCCCCGCACCCTCAGCATCTCCCGCCATTTCCCTCACGAGTTTCCCGGATGTAACCCCTTCCCCCGCGGCGGTTAAAAGAGACCAGGCGGCGGCGACTCCCTTTGGTGCAGGAGGAGGGAGCTCGAGTTTGGTCCAGCCTCCACCGCCCAGGGTTTCCGGCGACTCCAAATTGCGTTCCGCCTTGGAGGCCATCGGGGAAAAATAAACTACCCAGTAGATCTCCTTCTCTTTACACTCACCATCAGTTCCAGCTTATCGACCTCCGCCTCCATGTTGAATAGTTGACATTCCTCAGACCGCGGCGGCGCTTAAGCCGCAAACCGTACTAGCACTGAGGGTCCCTATTGGACAGCTGTCACTCAACGTTTAGCACTCATTGGTCCCTCCGCTTCACCGGCTCCCGCCCATTGGCGTCTGGGAAACGCCCCTCCGCATGAAACACCTTTTCCAGTTGGGCAAGGACACAAAACGCCACAGGAGGATTGGCTGCTGTACACTTTTTTTTCCCCATTGGCTGCACCCTCATCTCTACTTTCCATTTCACAGTTGGAGTTCAACAGAGAAGAGCTTGCGATTGGTGCAGTCGGAAGAAGAGCCAACCAATTACACAAAAGCTTCCACAAACAGCAAAGGAGACATGACACACCTTTCCTCTTCGGCTTCCCCTCCACTTCGCTCCCGCCTTCCCCCCTATTCATACAAGAAGCGCCTCAGCTCTGATTGGCCGGAGCATAGTGCTATCTCAGCCAATCACAAGCCAGGCTGTGCTCCTACGCTACCCGGAGAGCGAATGGTGGAGAAACCAAGGCTATGATTGGTTCCTCCACCGTAAGGTCTTAATTTTGAATTTTTCTTTATGGCGAAGGAGAAGCCACAGCCGGGACTCCATCGAATCCCGGGCTCTTAGACTAGTAAGTGCAGCGAGATCTTCCTTTGTTACCTGGGCTGTCATTTTCCGTAGCTCGGCTTCTTGTTGCTTGTGTTCTTACGGTTTATGGAGGTGGAAAGTTTGGCTGGACTCAGAGGGGAGATGGGGCGCTTTAGGGTTGGGCAAGGAGTTCTCCGCCAGGCTCCACCCTAAATCATACTTATATCTAATTAACGCTCTGCAAAATCTGTTTTGGAGCAAAGAATCTGCCTTCCTTTTGCACATCCCTGTACATTTTTACTACTCAAAATGTGGTCTGCGGACCAGCAACATCTGCCTCACTTGGCCCAGGTTAAAATTGCAAATTATATGGCTCTACCCAGACCTACTGAATCAGAGTATGCATTTTAGCAAGATCGCCTCCCCATCACCGTGATTCTTATGCACATTAGAGAGCGTACATTTCTTGACTGGGAATAGTACTATGTTTCTTGTATAGTCTTAATATTGTCCGGTTTTCTTTGAGGGTGTCAATTTTTAAAATGTGCTTTGTTACTATGTGCCTAGCACTCTGCTGGACTAAGCTTTAGGGAGCTACAGTCTCTTTAGAGAAACAAGACAGGAACTACAAAAGCAATGTTACACAACATGAAATTGAAATTAAATATAAGTACCCGAAATAGCCCTATGGATGTTCAAGAGGAATTAGTTGAACTTGTTATGGAAACTGATTAATTGACTGAAAGCTGTTTGTGGGAGACTGTAAGAAATGGAATTGTTTGGCTCACAAGCCCAGCCAAAAGCTCTTGTGCTGGCAGTGCTGTGAGCCAATCTCTGATAGCGGAAGTTTGCAGCAAAGTAAGAATTTTATTGCAGGGCACCAAGCAAGGAAGTGTGAGACAAGTCTTAGATTCACTCCAACTTGGTGTCTGAGTTTGGAGTTTTAAAAGGGGAAGAAAAGGGAGCTGGTGTTAATCATCTTAACTATCTAGGTCTCCTTGTCTTTGGTCCAGTGGTCTGTGACCAGGGGTCTTGTCAACATAATCTGTAAAGGTCATTTTATCCTGGAAGGTGAATAACTCAAAACAGCACATAAACAGTGATGTTTATGGAAAAGCTGTGACTCAAAGCACTAGACCTTCATTACTCATTATTGATTAGGTGAACATGTCATCAGACAGCTATTGGGTAGGCCAAAAGGAAACAAAAACAAAAGAACAAAAACGCCGGCATTAGCTTTAATTAAAATGAGTCATACGACTTGGTTTCAATCTGTGTTCCTGCTACAGCTTTGGAGTACCCCCTGACCAAATCACTTTCCATATCACAGGATGGAGTTTTAATAGAAGCAGCAGTGCCAGTTCTTGCAGAGGACTGTAGTTCTTACACTATTATTTATTGCATCTTCCTACTGGAAGTAGTTTTGGATCCATCCTTTAACCATATGAAGTTGTGTTATGTTTTGAAAAACTAAAAGCCTCCCTTACCAAGAGATTTTCCAGAATGTAATTCTATTAAAGCATATTCCTTAAATAAAATAGAGAACCCTTGCTAGCTAACACTTAGCAGGTGTGATTTCTTTCGCTCATGCATTTATTGAATGAAACGTTATTTAATGCCTGCTATACTCTAGGTCCTGGGGAAACAGATGAATAAAATTCATCCTACCCTTGAAATGTTCACCATCTAGCCAGGTGACAAACATGCAAACAAAAATTACAATCCAGTATAATAAATGTTACAGTAAGTGCTATAGAAACACAAAAGAGATATTTCAGTCAGTATACATTCCATAAAGACAGACACTATGTTGATCGTGCTTCGAATTGTATCCCAGCACCTACCTTACTAATTAGTGGATTATGATCACTCAACAAATACCCGTGAGAAAAAGTACCAGAAGCTGGATGGCTATATAAGTAGACCTGGCGGAGGATACCCCAAACAGGGGGAAAGGCTGGTAACGCTATAGGAAATACTTGGTGTTTTTTGGCATACCTGAAGTACAAACTGCTAATCATTGGAAGAAAGGAGGCTGCAAAGGACCATTAGAGCTAAATTGTGGAAAGCTTTGAAAGGTATTGTTACTGAATGCAAGTCCGTGGGTGCCCTATGAAGTGAGGCCAAACAAAAGGAAACAAAGTTTGGCTGTGACCTATACAGAGAGAGAACTAACAGATAACAACTGGTGAATCTAAATGAATGATATATGAGTGTTAATTATACTATTCTTATAAATTTTCTCAAGGTTTGAGATTTTTCAAAATTAAAAGAGTTGGGGGAAATCGATTATATCGAAAGAGAAAAACAGGAGAGCCCACGGAAAGATGGTGAAGGTAGCTGAAGTTAGAGGAAGTTAGAAGAGGGCTGGTAAGGAGAAAGGATAGGAGTAATTAATGGGAGAAATATTTCTGATTCATGTATATAAATAGTATATATATTTTACTTTATTGTATTCTACAATGAGTATCCTAATTTCCTCAAGGCAAGTAAAAAGGAAGGAAATGTCTTTTTCAATTTAAAAAAGAAAAACTGCTTTGAGGAATCATGAAAGAATGAGCTTCTATCTAGTGTTAACGATTGTAATCCCACCTAATCTAGAAAAAGAATTTGTCTTTCTCATTATTCTTTTAACCTGGATAAAGATTGCTCTATACCCTTTAAATTGGATATTTAAACTCTGAAGAGTATCTAAAGCTTTTAATAAAGGAATGATAATAGAACAAGCCTTATCTTGCTGAGTCCTGTCCTGTTTGAGGTAGGAACTCGTTATCTTTCATTTTTAGAAGAGCTATGATTATTGTTGAATATAATGTTAACCTAGGAATTATCACAGACTGCATTTTCCTATTCTGACAGATTTGACATATTCTCTTAATTCTTTATATGTGTCAATTACTGTGTTTAATTAGAAGGCTATTCAAGTAATAATGACCCAGAGCCCAGGACACATACACAAAGAAGAGAGAAGAGAAAATATGATTTAGTTCCTAGATACTTTTCATTAAAAAATAATTTGCAAAATGACGTACATCAGATTATGTAGAACTCTTTAGAAATTAGAATGCATGGGCACTGGAATAATCACCAGGAAAGGGTTAGAAAGAGATGGCCCAGTTTCACAGTGGTGGTATTTTTTTTAAATGAAGACCCTGGGCTAAGCACACATTCTACCACTGAGCTACACCCACCGCCTTGCCAGAGGGTGGTACTCTTTTTATTTAATTGAGTTATAGTCATTTTTACAATGTTGTGTCAAATTCCAGTGTAGAGCACAATTTTTCAGTTACACATGAACATATATATATTCATTGTCACATTTTATTTTCACTGTGAGCTACCACAAGATCTTGTATGTATTTCCCTGTGCTATACAGTATAATCTTGTTTATCTATTCTACATTTTAAAATCCCAGTCTGTCCCTTCCCACCCCTCACCCCCTTGGCAACAACAAGTTTGTATTCTATGTCTGTGAGTCCGTTTCTGTTTTGTATTTATGGGTTTTTTTGTTTGTTTTGTTTTGTTTTTTAGATTCCACATATGAGCGATCTCACATGGTGTTTTTCTTTCTCTTTCTGGCTTACATCACTTAGAATGACATTCTCCAGGAACATCCATGTTGCTGCAAATGGCATTATGTTGTCGGTTTTTATGGCTGAATAGTATTCCATTATATAAATACACCACATCTTCTTTGTCCAGTCATCTGCTTATGGACATTGCTGTTTCCATGTCTTGGCTATTGTAAATAATGCTGCTATGAACATTGGGGTGCAGGTGTCATCCTGAAGTAGGGTTCCTTCTGGATATATGCCCAGGAGTGGGATTCCTGGATCATATGGTAAGTCGATTCCTACTCTTTTGAGGAATCTCCACACTGTTTTCCACAGTGGCTGCACCAAACTGCATTCCCACCAGCCGTGAAGGAGGGTTCCCTTTTCTCCACAGCCTCTCCAGCATTTGTCATTTGTGGACTTCTGAATGATGGCCATTCTGACTGGTGTGAGGTGATACCTCATTGTAGTTTTGATTTGCATTTTCTGATAATTAGTGATATTGAGCATTTTTTCATGTGCCTATTGATCATTTATATTTCTTCCTTGGAGAATTGCTTGTTTAGGTCTTTTGACCATTTTGGGATTGGGTTGTTTGTTTTTTTTTCTTATTAAGTCGTATGAGCTGCTTATATATCCTGGAGATCAAGCCTTTGTCGGTTTCATTTGCAAAACTTTTCTGCCATTCCGTAGGTTGTCGTAGAAGGGTGGTACTCTTATTTTTCCAGGTTGACTGTCAAATACTACTACAACATTTATTATATACTTAGAAACAAACAAACAAAAAATGATAGTCATCTGACTCCTCTTTCTATAATCCTGACTCCCACTTGCCAAAGGCAACACTATCCACTTTTGTCATTGTTTCTGGCATTTACCTCCCTGTTTCTAAGTAATATAGTTATAATGTGAAGGAAAAGCAAGCTGGGCCTAACTCGTAAATCTAAATTTAACAATTGTCGGATTACTG